CTGCAGAATTAAAGACATAGTTGAAAATTCATATCATCAATTAGGTAGATCGGGAGATTCTATTATGCTGCCCTACGAGCAAATAAATCTTAGTGTTTTATATTTAATTGGATTTTTCCTATCAAATGTTTTTAATAGCCTTGTTTTCTAAATAGAATATGTATTCCTTTAAAAGTGAAACAGTATAGGCAAAGAAAAGAGTTTTTAAAACTACCTGCTTTTAAGATTTCTCCAGACATCTTTAGAATTTTTTTAATAAAGTTATACTGTAAATTTTATGCTGTGGTCTGTTTGGGGGTGGTTTTATTTATTCCCTAAATGATATGTCAAATACGTCTTTTCTTTTAAATAATTAAAGATACACATTATTTTTAGTGGCTACAGAGTGTTCAGAAACACAAGCTTCGGGGTCAACCAGAATCGCCTCTTGCTAGTGATACGACTTTCAGTTTTTACTAAAATTAAGTAAAATAATGGTATGAATTGCTCATTACTGTGACCACTTGTAACAAGTGTTCAATAAAGGGTATAAAATGCCATAATAGGATGCCATTAAAATGCCATAATTTATGTAACTAGTTTCTTCCTGATTAACATTTAGGTTCCTTGGAGTTTTTTACTGTTAGAAAGAATGTTTCAGTGAGCACCCTTATGTAGGCATGTTTTCACGTTTATCTCTGTAGGCTCAATTTCTAGAAGTGAGATTGCAGATTTAAAGTGTAAATATATTTTGTATATTGACTGATGAAATCAAGCTGTCTCCACAAATGTTGGGCTGATTTATACTTTTTCTAGAAATAAAATTATTTTATTAACTAATATTGGGAATAATTATTCCTTTGGAAAAAAGCAAAGCCATAAAAACTACCCATTTTTTATACCCATGTAAATATCCGATAGATCATACTGACTAACTGTGGATTTGGTCTTTCTTTTCAGTATTATTGATCTAATGCAAAAAAAAATTGTATGTATTTGCATTTCTTTGGATATTAGTTAAGTGTTAAAGTACCTTTGTACTTTTTGCCCATTTTTGTGTTAGAATGTTAGATTTGTAAAGGATCTTTGTTAGGAACATTAATCCTCTGTCATATTTGTTGTAAAGATTTATCATTTGTCTGTCTTACGTTTTTCTTCTTGTTTTTCTTTTTGCCATACCAAATATTTGAATTTCTGTGCAGTCAAATTTAACATTATTTTACTTTTTGTTTTTTTTGTAAATATCTTTGATCTGAAATTTATATTGATGTAAAAACATGGGAGGAGCAGGGAGTGGAGAATAAATTTACTTTTTTCCACATAATTAACCAGTCAGTCCAACATCGTTTGTTAAATTATTTTTTTTCTCTAATAAGAAATACTAGAAATATACAGTTGGAACTGTTTCTGTACTATTGTGTTTCAGTCATATGTTTGTCTACTCCTGGATCAGTTTTACACTATTGGTTTTTTTAATCAGAGTTTCAGAATGTTTTAATATCTAGTAGGACTAGATTCCCCTTATCACTTCTTTTTTATAATTCTCCAGGATATTCTTATATTCTTGCATGTTTAGCTTTCTAAATAGGCTTTGTAATAACGTGTCAAGTTCCCAAAAGAATCTTGTCAGGCTTTTAATTGGAATAAAATTATTAGTGTTTTATAACAGGAAAAAAAATTTACATCAGCTACTTCACCCTTCTCTCATCTTTCTTCAGAAATTTCAGATCCAAGCGTGTCACCAGTAACCAGCACTATCCCACCCACCTCTGCATCAAATCAGCAGAAAGAAAAGAAGAAAAAGAAAAAAGACCCTTCAAAGGGCAGATGGGTAGAAGGCATAACCTCTGAGGGTTACCATTACTATTATGATCTTATCACAGGAGGTAAGTCATTTAGGCATAAAAATAGTAGAGAATGATAACCAACAGTTTGTTTTGTGTTAGGACTTTTAGTTAATATTGGAACGTTTAAACAATGAAAGACTAACTTTACCTTTTTGCCACTGGTAAAAAATTATGTGCCCTTTAAAAAGGTACCCTTCTCATAGTGACTCAAGGTCATAATTAAAGACTTAATAGTGGGTTCCTTACAAATAAATTATAGCTTTATATTTTCTCAATAAAGCTTTGTAAATATTTTAACTTTTAGGAGTGTATGAGATCACAAGGAGAAAGAAGAGAACAAGAAGTAGAAAGGGTGGGTGGTACATATATTAAAGGAATGGGCAGAAGAAAAGGTAAGAATGGTCAGGAAGGTAGGAAATGAGATTAGAGAGTTAATCACGAAGAAAACCTTGGGCTACCAGTATTGTGGTAATTATTAAGATCTCTAGAATCACAGTCAGTTTTTGACGACATAGAAATAGTAACAATCTCTGTTTGCACTGAGCCATAAGTGAAGTGCGTGTTGTTGTTCAGCAGTGAACCATAAATAATTGTATGCTAGGGATTATAAGTCTCTCTCAAATTTACATAGAAATTATTTATTGATTACATTTTTTCTCCCTTCTGGCGCCTATTCCTTGCTGCCTTTGTTCACCATCCTACTTTGTATACTCTTGCTCTCAGCAATATTTGTTTTTAATACCTGCATTCTTCATCTTATTCCTCTCTGGAGTCATTCATTCCATCTCTCACTCTCCCCTGCCCCAAGATGTCAAAATTTATCAAGCCTGAATTCCAAGAAATCTTTTTTTTTTTTTTTTTTTTTTTTGGTACGCGGGCCCCCCCCTGCTGTGGCCTTTCCCGTTGCGGAGCACAGGCTCCGGACGCTCAGGCTCAGCGGCCATGGCTCACGGCCATGCCGCTCCGTGGCATATGGGATCCTCCCGGACCGGGGCACGAACCCGTGTCCCCTGCATCGGCAGGCGGACTCCCAACCACTGCGCCACCAGGGAAGCCCCCAAGAAATCTTTAAGAGAAGCCCTACCTAGCTCTAATAATTCTTGTGATGTACCAGTAACTTCTTATCCTTCATTCTGTCCTTCCTTCTTGGTTACATAGCATTCACATGTATTCTTCACAGCACTACTGGGATGTATGTTGTTTCTTTTTATTTTTCAATTATGTTTTAAACTGTAGACATGTAGTGTTTCATTCATGTTGAATATCTTGTAATTTTTTGCCAAATTAAATTTTTTTGGGAAGATTTTACAAATGCAATATATTTTGTTTTAAGCATCTCAGTGGGAGAAACCTGAAGGATTTCAAGGAAACTTAAAAAAGGTAACTGAAGCACATTAATAGTCTTTTTTTAATTCTTTTAAGTGATTGGCTTCTGGGATTTTTGTAGGGTTGATTAAGCAAATTTACTTCCAGATAAGCCTCCCTGTCCCCCCAACCCCCTTTGTTCCTTTCTTTCTATAGTCCTTTTGTTAAAAGGGTGGATGGTGGTGGAAAAGTGATGTCTACCCTGAAAGTCGACACAGGGCAAATATTATTAGTTGGTTTGCAGTCAGTTGCCATTTACATGTCCCTGTCAGTCTGCAAAGAACTGTTCCTGGCTTTCAGAGGCAAGGCATTCCCTCCCTGAAAGGTGGCTCATGATTAACACAAATCAAGCTTCTTGGCCATGATCATTACCACCACCCCTAATTGCCAGGTGTCAAGAGGAAAGGAAAGGTTGGCTGACTCTGCCTTAGTTATCTAATATATAACCACATCTTCAGTTTATTCTGGTTGTTTTCCTCCCATCAGACGGCAGTGAAGACCGTTTGGGTAGAAGGTTTAAGTGAAAATGGCTATACCTATTATTATAATACAGAAACAGGGGGTAAGTATTACCTTTGTTTATCTCTTAAGCTGTCTAAAATTGTACCTCACCCTGCTTATTAGCCTGCTGATGAATTGTCTGAACTTGAGAATTTTAGTATAGTGATAAACATATTTCTGTAGCAAGTATGTATTTTTTATAATTTAGAAACATTAATACAATGGAAAAGCAAAAAGATTTCTATAATATACTGAGCCATGTGTTGTTCTTCTCAAGTGATACTGCATTCACAAATTTTTTTACTTTGAAAATCATTTTTACTTTCTCTACCATCATTGGTTTTTATCGAGATTATTTTAGAAATATAATCATTACCTTGGAAGATCACCTCATTCAACTTGCCTTCTATTTTAAAAAGCAGAACTGAAGCTATTTTAGCAGTAGCTAATAAGACTGTCTAATTTTCACTTTTACTAATTTAATAATTTTCAGTTATATAAATATTTAGAAAACATGCATAATTATTGTTACCTAATTATTATCTGTTTTTCAAATTAAGATTTTATCTAATTTCATAAAACTAGTCTTGCCAGTAATTATAGTTGGTTTCTTCTGCAATTAAATTTACCAAAATAGCTATAGTATTGGTGTATCTTTGAGCTTGCTTTGTTTGTTTGTTGTTTTTTTCTTTTTTTTTTTTGTGGTACGCGGGGCCTCTCACTGTTGTGGCCTCTCCCGTTGCGGAGTACAGGCTCCAGAAGCGCAGGCTCAGCGGCCATGGCTCACGGGCCCAGCCGCTCCGCGGCATGGGGGATCCTCCCAGACCAGGGCACGAACCCATGTCCCCTGCATCGCCAGGTGGACTCTCAACCACTGCGCCACCAGGGAAGCCCTGTTTGTTTTTTAATTCCTGCTATCCAAAGACTGCTACATAGCATTAAGTCTTTTAGGAGGAAAAGGCCCTTTTGACCTCCAAGTAGATACCCAGCTTGCCCAATGATGACAGTGCTTCTGCCTCCGTACACTTGATGTACTGAATCCTTATAAAGATAAAATAACATATAACTATAGAGTTAGATCTGCGTGAGCTCAACGCACAGCTTCCCTTACCAGCTCTATGATTGTGGTTAAGTCACTGAGCCTATATTTGCTGTTAAGTAGAGCTGATCCTGTTCTCTGTGAGTTCATGACGGTCATGTGTCTTTAAAGTTCCCCCAAACAGTGCCTGGTACATATTAGATGCTTAACCAATTATTTCTTGTAAGTTCTTTTATTACTTGTGTGAAATAAAGACAAGGAAAAAGTAATTTTTTTCATTAGTGCTGGAAAGAACCCTGTAATTAATAAGGGACTATACATACTGATTTTCCCTCAACAATTTCAGTTTATGTCTGGATCAATGTGATTATTAATACAGCCCCCTTTACTCTTAAAACTTTCCCAGTTGAACAATAAATTTTAGAATCCCTGTCCCTTTTATTAAACTAAAAATAGAGAGTAACTGCAGTTAATTAGAACTGCTATCATTTTACTAAAAGCCCAACAAACCACTGGGTGGCAGTAGAGTTCAACTGAGATTTTTTTTTTTTGTTCCCCCTTATTATAAAACGACAAATTTTATTCATTCAGATCTTCGCCATATTATTCCACTTTATGAAGATGCCAGGGAAATTTTGTGATAAATAAATTTCAGGAAATCTCATGTGTGCCCATTACGATGTTTTCTGAAACTGGTGTTGGTTAAATTTTGAGTCCTCAGAAAGTATTACCAGTTCTTAGGTCTCTTTCCATTGGGGCTGTAGTTCATACATCTAGTGAATCCAGATTGCTTGAATTTAATTTCTGAAAGATAATAGCAAGACCTTTGGGATCTCTTGTTTATTATCTTCTTGATCAAGTGATGGTGTGAAACAAATGCAGTGTTGTCACTTAATATACTGTAAGTGACAGGAAACATTATATTGGGAATATTCTTCTAAATAGAATTGGTAACTAAATAACATGACTATTAAAATGTGTTGAATAGAATCCAGATGGGAAAAACCTGATGATTTCATTCCACACTCTGGCGATCTGCTTTCTAGTAAAGTCAATGAAAAGTCACTTGGCACCCTAGAAGAGTCCAAACCATCAGATTCACATAGTGATTCTGATGGGGAACAGGCAGCAGAAAAGGGAGGAAGAAAAGGACAGGTCTCTACAGAAACGCAAAAGCTAAAAATAAAGTTTAAGGTAAGTTCTTGACTTACTCTTTACAACAGTTTGTTAATTTATGAAAAGATCTACAGACTTTCTTCAGCTTTCTGGTAGAAGATAGAAATAAAACCAAGAGATGCATTTTGGCACCCAGATAAATGGTTGTATCATTTATTGATATCTATTTGATAACAATATAGTAAATTCATTTTTAGACCTCCTAAGTTTGAAATGCCTTGGTAACATTCAGAGAGCTGTCTGAACACGCAAGTATGAATGTCTAGGCTAGAAATGTTAATTTGAGTATCATCAACATACTGGTAGTAATTTAAGTCTCAGAATGGGTGAAGTAACCTAGGAAAATGACCTTGGGGAATATTAAACATTTAAGGACAGGAGAGAAAGAGGAGCCCACAAGGCAGAATGAGGAAAGAATGATTAGGAAGGTATGCTGAGAAGCAGAAGAATTCAGTATCCCAGAAGCCAAAGGAGTAGAGAACATCAGGGATTAACTAGGTCTAGAAAAGGAAAAATGTCCATTGAATTTTGCATAAGGAAGTCCTTGATATCCTTCTAGCAGTTATACCAGAGTTTTAGGTGGGAAAACTCAGATTACAGGAGGATGAAAAGTGGTTCACAGTGTATATGTGGTTTGGATATGTAATGAAAAGTAGAAATTAGATGATAAGATGGTGTCTACATACTGACTTTTAATTGTGAGAGATTTGTGGTGGTGATGTTTTCCTTAAGAGGGACTCCAAAGGAGGTAGAAACGGAATACCAACAAGGGTAAGTGGATAGGTTGGTCTTGAACAAGGAATAAACTCATTTTCTGTAAGAAGGTAAGGTTTTCATTTTCTGTAAGGTATGACTATGGATGATTTGCTGTCAGGAAAGAAGAGTCCTGCCTTTTAGCCTCAATTTACTCATGTATAAAGAAATCAAGATTGCTTGCCGAGAGTGAGAAGCTTTGGGGAGCTTGACAACATTAACAGACTAAAATAATCACTGAGCCAGGGTGGGAGAAGAAATGAACTAAGTAAGAGGATTGACAGGTGGTGGTGCTAAGTGCCCAACCATGGTGGGAAAGTAGAACAGACATTTTAATAGTGTTAATAGTATAGCTAGTCCTCCTGCTTTTGTGACCTTTCCAGGAACACTTAGGAGCCTGGGTGCCAAAGCAGACAAGATACATAGCATTGATCCATGGTTGAGTACTGGCCTGAGAGGTGAAGGAATATCCAGGATGCTGGAGAGAGGGCACTTCCAGCCTTACCTAAGGTCTTGTCATTGCCTGCAATTGCCTTCTCAACCTACCCCATAAATCTTGGTGGAAATTAGGGTGAGGAATATATCCAGTTTATAGAAGAGCAGCAGGAAAGCTCTTGTGTAGTAGATATCTTACAATGTTTATAGTGAAATTTAGGTAACCCAGCGTCCAACGTGGGACAGATATTATTAACTTCAAGCAAACAAAATATTACAAAATACAGATAAACAAAAAAGGACAAACTATAATCCTGCCATTTCCCAGAGAAATCAGTATAATACCTTGATGTTTTTGGTCTATAATTTTCTGTTCAGACTTGTACATTGCTTTAAACAAGGTATGGAGTCATACTGTAATAAGGTTTTATTATCACTTTCCAATTTAATCTGTCACAAAGACATCGTTAAGTCTTCATGTACTAAAATAATGGATGGATAGTATTCCATGATATGAATATAAAATTATTAATTCAGCGCTGTGGAGCTGAATATGTATTTTGAATAATCACTAAAGGGACCAGGAGAAGAAATAACTGGAGACACATTACTAAGCAGTGTTAAAGTCTCTGCTGAAATTGGATGTCATAAATGCTGAAATCTCATCAGTTTGTATGGTTGTGTGATTTTTTTTTTTTGTAACACTTGACAAACTAATGGATAGATTTGTGTTGGAGATTTTTAGGTCCTATGCAATAGACAGGCATAGGGACAAAGATATTTTAAGGGTGCTAGCAAAATAATGTTTATAACGTGATTCTCTGTGGGCTGGGGCCTGATAACGAAGAATGTAAAGTCTAGATGAGACTAACAAACTCAGAACACAGGAAATTAAGGTAGTAGAGATGGTAGTGATGTTGGATAGGAGGTATTGTAGAAGTAAGAGAGCCAGAAAGCCAAAAGAATAACATTGTGGTCAGAGGGTGGGCTTTTGGAGTTTAAGATTTCGTAAGTGGGGCATTTTTGAGTGATGACCGCATTCAAATTAAAAGGAACATAAGTGTGAGGATCTAATATTTGAATACGACCTATGCACCAGGTACTACATATGAGGAGAATATCTTACTAGGCAGCTGAAATATAGTGAAGGCCAAAGTTATTGGTTTTGTGGGTCACAAAACTGAGGGTAGGGAATTTTTAAGCTCTGGGATGACAAGAGTTTTGGTTTTTTGTTTTGTTTCGTTTTTATTAGAGTATAGTTGCTTTACAGTGTGGACAACAAGAATTTGAACAGAGAGAACATACAGAGTTGCCAGAGTCATCACTTGATATGGAGAAATAGGGACTTCCCTGGTGGTCCAGTGGTTAAGACTCTGCGCTTCCAATGCAGGGGCGTGGGTTCAGTCCCTGGTTAGGGAACTAAGATCCCACATGCCACATGGCCAAAAAGTAAATAAGTAAATAAAGGAAAAAACATACATAGAATTAAGTGTGAACATTAAAAAGTATATATATGGAGTAGTCGCCAGAGGTCATTAGATCATGAGAGGAAGAATGGAAGAGAACTGTATAGAAGGTGGTATGAGCCTCAGAGGAGGAGGCATTTATTGCATGACCTCAGTAAAAATGTCTTATTTCAAAAATGTCGTGGCCTGGAAGCAGTCAGTTGGCTAAGAGAAAGCTGATGCTGTCTCCTACTTCTGTGATATCAGCAGCATAAGGGAATGAGTTAACATCCATTCAAAGAATTGCAAATGAAACAGTGTTCCAGGACTGCCACCCATGGTTGTGCAAGTTTACCAAGAGGCTGAAATCTAATGCATGGTCCACATGCTAAACCGGGCCACAGGGTTTTGTTATCCCAGATGATAAAAGCACCAGCCCTCTCCAGGGGCTCCTTGGGAGCTATTTCTACCTCAGGGGTGTGTCTTTTTCCAATTTCACATCATTACCAGTTGTACAGGCCAGTGAGGTTTGGGCAGTGTCCTCAACACGAAGATGGATTTCAGTTAACACTAATTTGTTGAGGGAGTTCTTTAAATAGATAATGGGTATAGAAGGGTCCAGTGACATGGCATTAAATTCAAAAGGGGCACAGTATAAAGGGAGGTCACTGTTGGACATGTAAGTAAGGAGAGAAGCAGTAAAGTGGAGAAGAGAGGATAAAAAGGCCAGTGTATGTCTCTGAGGGGGGTAGAACATTAATAGGATCGTGTTATATTATTTTAAAAAACAGCCTTGGCCATGATGTGTTAGCATTTTAGACTTAATGAAAAACCTAATCAAGCATTAAAGGAGTTCTTTTATGTACATTTGTTGTATTGCATGCAAATTTGAACTACTGAGTTAATGTATTATTTATAAATCGATACCAAGACTGCATTAAAGAAATTTTGGGTCCTGGCAGTTTTGCTTGAAGTTCGTTATTTCTTAACTTTGACATTTCAGGAAAAAAATAAAAATAGTGATAAAGGAACAGAACCAGAAACACAGAAAGAAAAAAATACCCAAGGGAAGAATTCATCAGGTCCAAATGAAGAAAAACCCAAAGCTCATAAAAAATCAAACCCATATGGAGAATGGCAAGAAATTAAACAAGAGGTTGAGTCCCAGTAAGTACCTGAAACTTAATGCCACTGTTATTACAGGTGTTTTACGTCCCATTACTTCCATAAATTGCAGTACCTAATTTCAGGAATAAGGTGCTCATTAAAAGTGTAGCTCATTTCCTTTATTTCTAGAATGGTTTTGTTTTTTCTAATTAAATATTTTAAAATGTAAGCTAAGGTTTATTTTTTTAAAGTAAACTAATGATTGTTTTAATCCTTACTAAGACATGACATTTCTATTGACCACACATTCCCACACTAACATACCATACACACATGTGCATTCTCACACTCAACCATCGTTATTCTATCAGAGAAACAAATACCTGCATATTCAGTACATGCTTCATGGGATCTATCTAAAGGCAAAAAAAAGCTCTTGTGTTACTGTATTGAAAATGGCTTGTGACACTTAGCTAAGTTTTTAAGTTTTTATTCAAAAAATGGCAGTTCTATCAACTAAACAAGATCATGGTAGAGATGATACCTGGTTTACATTATTAGCTTATGTTTTCATATCAGCTACTGTCTTAGGATCATTTACACAATGAAAGGAAAATGTCACCCCCAGCTTCACACATTGGTGTTTCTTAAATGCATAAAAAATATCTTCAGGTGGGAAAAAAGTATTTATATGAATTAAGCAGTTTTTCTCTAAACATGAATGCTTTGAAATGGTAATGTAATATAACTGTTCCATGCATACTTTTTTTATTTTTTTGCGGTACGCGGGCCTCGCACTGTTGTGGCCTCTCCCGTTGCGGAGCACAGGTTCCGGACGCTCAGGCTCAGCGGCCATGGCTCACGGGCCCAGCCGCTCCGAGGCATGTGGGATCTTCCCTGACCGGGGCACAAACCCGTGTCCCCTGCATCAGCAGGCGGACTCTCAACCACTGCACCAACAGGGAAGCCCCCATGCATACTTTTATAGTGAAATTATTCATTGTTAAAACTGTACTTTAGGGGACTTCCTTGGCGGTTCAGTGGTTAGGACTCTGTGCTTCCACTGCTGGGGGCCTGGGTTTGATCCCTGGTCGAGGAACTAAGATCCCGCGTACCGTGCGGGCAGCCAAAAAAAACAAAAAAACTGTACTTTAATGAAAAGGTCATGTTTTTTCAGAAGGCGGAGTAATACAAGTTTTGGACAGCTTTATATACTGTTCTAATAAGAATTGATTCCTTAGTGATATTGTACCATAACATAGCTTTGAACTATTAAAATGTTTTTATTAAATATTCAGCTCTTATTTTACTTAATGAAATATGAGGAAATGTGTATTTAATGCTACATAGTGCCAGGGACCATAAGTATATTGACTGTATATGTTGAAGTTGCAGAAATAATAGACTGCGTTGATTACTTCAGCCCCTAAGTGATTTCCTTAGTGACTTACAATAGGAGGATGGCCTTCCTATACCAATATCTCCTGTACTTCAAAGTTGAGATGTCTTAAAATTTGAGTATTTTGTTTCCCATGTGATAAGTTTACTGTAAAGCCATTATTCTTAACAGCAGCCAGTTTAATATGTGATGGATTGTGTCTGACTTCCTAAGTAGATTTACTGGTGAGGTTGAAACATTTTTTTCATATACCTGTGTTTATCAGTGTTTTGTATTTACTCTTCTGTGAATTGTCTGTTCATAGTCTTTGCAAATTTTTCTATTGAAGTATTAGTCTTTCCTTACTTGCATAAGACCCTTATGTAGTACAGACGCTAACCATTTATTAGTAGTAGTTATGGTGGATTTTCCACATTTGTAGTTTGACTTTTAATTGTGCTTATAATGGTTTTAGATGTGTAGAACTTTGTAATGTTTAGTCTGGTATCTTTTCTTTTGTGATGTTTTATTGATACTACCCTTTTTCATCCAAAAGTCAAGTTTATACTTGTATCTCCTCCTGGTTGTGTGATCTTACTTCTTTTTTATGTAATTATTATTATTTTTTATATTTATTTATTTTTGGCTGTGTCGGGTCTTCGTTGCTGCACACAGGCTTCTCATTGCTGTGGCTTCTCTTGCTGCGGAGCACAGGCTCTAGGCACACAGGCTTCAGTAGTTGTGGCGCTCAGGCTCGGTAGTTGTGGCTTGCAGGCTCTAGAGCACAGGCTCAGTAGTTGTGGCACACAGGCTTAGTTGCTCCACAGCATGTGGGATCTTCCCTGACCAGGGATCGAACCCATGTCCCCTGCATTGGCAGGTGGATTCTCAACCACTGTGTCACCAGGGAAGCCCACATTTTTATGTAATTATTTAATCCATCTTTTATGTAGTTATTTAATCCATCTTTAATAATTTTGATACATTGTATGAGGTGAGATTTTTTTAATTAATTTTTTTTTTTTAATTTTTTTTGTGGTATGCGGGCCTCTCACTGTTGTGGCCTCTCCCGTTGTGGAGCACAGGCTCCGGACACACAGGCTCAGCAGCCATGGCTCATGGGCCTAGCCACTCCACGGCATGTGGAATCTTCCCTGACCAGGGATCGAACCCATGTCCTTTGCATTGGCAGGTGGATTCTTAACCACTGTGTCACCAGGGAATCCCACAGTTTTATGTAATTATTTAATCCATCTTTTATGTAGTTATTTAATCCATCTTTAATAATTTTGATACATTGTATGAGATGAGATTTTTTTTTTTAATATTTATTTATTCTTTGGCTGCATCGGGTCTCAGTTGTGGCGCGTGGGCTCTTCATTGCAGTGCGCGGGCTTTTCCCTAGTTGTGGCACGTGGGCTCCAGAGCATGTGGGCTCAGTAGTCGTGGCACACAGGCTCAGCAGTTGCGGCACATGGGCTTAGTTGCACCTCAACATGTAGGATCTTAGTTCCCTGACCAGGGGTCGAACCGGTGTCGCCTGCATTGTAAGACAGATTCTCAACCACTGGACCACCAGGGAAGTCCCAAGGTGAGATTGTAAAATAATTTTTTATCTTACCTGGCAAACCGATTTTGCCAGTACCATTCTTCTGTATTTTTAAGTGGCATTTTTTTTTTTATCTTGTGTTTAATTCTTTTTTTTTTTTTTTTTTTGGTTT